ATTGACCTTTTTGGATAAACAACGTAATAAAACACCTAAAATGTCATTTTTGAATTAATTTATTGTTATTTTTAGTAAATAATATTCAAGTATGTATTTATTTCATTTTGTAAAAAAATATGCTATGTGAAAAATTGTATATTTTAAAGTAGAATTTTTTTGTTTTCTTGTGCAAAATAACGCAATTTTTGTCCTAAAATAACAATTCTTCGGCATATTTTTGAAATTTTGCAAACTAATTCTGCTTTTAGCTGAATAACTTGCCAAATTGCTCAAAAAAGCAAAAATAATGACAATTAAAACCACTTTCAAAAAAAGGAAAAATTAACACCAACTTTGACCAAATTTAATAATTGTTAACTCATTTTATTGTAAATCTTTGAAGCAATGGAGTTTTTGGCTAAAAAACGTCCTAAAATTGTTGGGAGAGAGGTTTAGGGCCCGCAAATACGCCGCTACCGCCCTGGAAAAATGTAATTTTAAATAACCTTCGCAATTACGCAACTCATGACGTCATTGGTTAAAATCCTATTAACAACTGATCGTTAAAATTAATAAACTTGTACTTTTTGCCCTTTGATTCCCCCAAGAAATATAATTGCGAAACTTTTTGAGTTTTAATTCAACATCTGAAGGTAATATTGATTTCAAGAAATTTACAACTGTAAACAAATCTCGTTAAGTGAAAAATTTATTTTTTTAACATAAATTTTATTGGTCCAATTAATTAAATCACCTAAATAAAACGTAACTTATGTAAAGAGCCCATTCAAACAATCTATTAATAAAACGGGTAAACTAATGATGTTTGAAACAAATGCTAGTAGGTGGTCCAGACTTCTGAAGAAAGCAATTAAAGCATTTCACCGCGATGTAGAAATTAAATTGCAATCTTTTATTGAAGAAAATTTAACCAATCAGTTTTGTTTATGGTTATTTGAAGCCGTTAAAAGATGCCTTTAAACCGGTTTTACCGGTTCTAAAAGTACCAATAAATCTGATTTTACATAAATTGCATACAAGAATTTTTTTCAAGTGTACAAAATAAGTTTTCATTTCTTTTTTGTGCAATGATTTTAAGACAATTTAGTTCATTATTACCCAACTGGAGCAGCGATTACTTTTTGTTTGCCCCGCCCATTCGGTTTTCTTAACAACCAATGAAATATGGTCAGATTTAAACTGACATCCAACACGAAAATTTTTAACCAATCAAAAATTTCAAATTTTTCAAATTGGGACCAATGAAATTAGTAGTGAAAAAATTCATGCCCATATGAAATGTCAAATTTAATTAATTTAATATTAATTACATACACTTGAGTGCAAAAAAAAAGCAAATTGTCAAAAACAAAATTGTCAATTTTTTCCGAGATTTACATAGTGTGAAAAAGGTTGTTGTATTTGATGGCCTTGCCAGTGCAGCGTCATAAAAACAAAATGGAAAAACATGGAAAAACTTGATAGAAGTTTAGAAGATGCTTGAGAATTACAAAGACAACCAAAAAACTGGCATTTATTAACAGGCCAAATTACATTATAAAAAAATGCGGTTTTTTTTTGCACTCAAGTGTACGTATACACACGTGTAAGAAAAAAGACCTTAAATATTTACATTCAACATTATTTTTTGTAACACAATTTATTATAAATAACATCGAGCAAATAAAAATTTTAAGCTGAATTCAACTCTTGGTCTAATTTTTTCTTGCAAAAATTTAAGACATTCGTAACTTTTGTTTTTGGAAAATTACAATTATTATTATAATTTTCGTTGCAAAAGCTACTCATTTCTGAAATGACACTCTTTATACGAAAAAAATAGACCATTTCTTAAATTATATTTGAAAAATTTAATAAATTGAAGGGCTTATTGTAAGCCACATAATTGAGAAATAAGATTTTGGATTTTAAAAAAATCTATGAACTTTATATTTTGATATAACTCCTAGGTTTTTTGATAAATGCAGTAACTCAGACAGTAACCTTCACAAATCTTTTGGAAAACACCCAAACTCGTGAGTGTGATTCGTAACTAAAAAAAATGGATTGTAACATTGATAATGACAATGATTTTGGTTTCAATTTTGAAGATTCGGAATAAATTTTATTTTTAATTTGTTTTTATTTTGATTGGCTATTTTATAATAGTGGGGCAGATCAAATATTACAACGGTGCTACTATAGTAAGTAAATATAAAATTAAAAATACGTAAATTTTAAATCAGTCTTGAAACAATTTAAACTAGTGTCCTAGAAAAAAATTCATTTAAACATAGAAAACATGTTTAAAAAATTGTATCTGTAAAAAATCTGACATTTGATATTTTTTATGTCTATTTAATTTACTGGTAATCTTCTATAGAGCGTTTCAATATGATTGACATCTCGGTAGTCTTTGGCAATGTAAATCACACTTTAATTTTAGTTACTAATGTGAACATTCTTTAGATAAGATACTTCATACAAAATAACGTTTCAATTAAATTTTGTCAAGAAAAATAACACAACCTATTTGTCCAAAAGAAATTTGCATGATTTGGTAATGGTTTTGTGAATATAAAAGAAATATGGAACAGAAAAAAAAAAGGAAAAAAAAACAACCTACAACTTTTGCACTATATGTTTTTTCATAATTATTTCGTAAGTACAAAAATTTTGCCAATAAAAGCCACAAATAATTCCTCCCATAATTTCGAATTTTTTTGCTAGAGTTTTTACCAGTTTTTCCATGTTTCAGGTATCTTACCTTATTTTTTTCTCTGAAACACCCTGTATTTAAAAAATGCTGAATTTTTGAATCATTATGTCATATGGAGAGATCAAGATAATTTGTAATCGAGTCATCCTTAGACCCGAAAACGTATGTCTGTGAAACGCCAAATAAAATGACATGATCACAAAAATGACGATTTTAATAAATAAATTTATGATTTACCTTAAAAAAAGAAAAAAAAGTCCAGCTCATTATGCGGTTTTGACTTGTCTTTGTTTTGACGTTTGATGTGCAGTTAGTTCAAAAACAGACATACGTTTTCGGATCCAAAGATTATTGATATGTATAAAAATTAAAAATTAAATTGTGTACTTATTTTTTTATTACTTTACACATTGATATAAGCCATGAATTATTCGAGGTGGTAGCTGATAAAAAACAATTTCTCTAAAATCCCACTGTGACCAAATATAACAAAAAATTTTGTTGAAATAAAAAATATGGACACCAAACGTGGAAACCTTCATCTTGGCGTAAATATTTTAAACTTTTTCCTTCAAATATTTCTGACCTTTGCTTCTTGGAATCGCTCCAAATAGATTTAGCGTCACAGTTATAATTTTGATTGAGGATAATAATGACATGAATATTCATAAAATTATGACATTTTGTTGAAAAAAA